CCTGAAAGGAATGAAGACTTTCTGACGGCTCTGAACAAATCAGAGGTGAATGTTTTTATTAACAGAGTCGTGGACATTTTCTCTGAAATATGAATAATAATTACTTTATTCTAATAGTCAGAAGCTCATTCAGAACATTTCTGACTAGGCCACGCCTACTTAGTGGGCGGAGCTCCAGCAGGTGTCACGTATAGTGTTTTACCAGCGGTGGATGAAGTACTCAACGGTAGTACTACAGTAAAAGTATTGATACTCATACGTAGACAAATACTCAACTACAAGTAAAATGACTCAAACATCTACCCACGTTAAAGTATTAAGGTACTCACTTTTTAAAATATGTAAGTATTCAAAAATATAAATAAATGTTTCAATATTTATATTATTTATATTTTATTTATATATCTAATTTTCAGAGTAAGTTTAAAGAACCTGTAAGTTTCAAAAACCACCAGATGTATTGATGCGTAGATCCACCTGCTATAGATTCTACACCACCTGGAAAGAACTTCAGCATAGAAGATAGTTTTGAGATATTTTATTATTATTTCTCATTTAAAATCAAACCAAAAATAAAATAGGAGAGTCTAGATTCTCCTCATTATGTCGTTATAGAATAGAGGTTAAAGGTTTAATCTATTAGAAACTATATCTATGCTTTGAGAATCATCCTACTGAACAACTTGGCCTCATGGCAACAACTTACACCTTAATATAATGATAAACTACTAATAATATCTGCTCTGAGTTTCTATTATCTGTGAAACGTCATTAAATCTGTAAATCAGTGGCGTCCAGATTCAGTCCTGAAATGATTAATCGTTATTTAGAATATAGAGACTGTAAAACCTGCCTTCAGATGACAGAGCGACTCACTTAGAGCAGGAATTATACCAAGATTGAAAAAATATATCAACATTTTGCATTTAAGATAAGCGGAAGAAGATGGATGGATGGATGGATGGATGGATGGATGGATGGATGGATGGATGGATGGATGGATGGATG